CAGGGATCTGGAAGGGAAGTGGAGTAGTGGGTATAGGAACTGATGCCGATAAGGGATCCTGGTGCATGCAAGGTAAGGACTAGGCACCAGACTACTGTGCAGGGCCCGATAGACTAAACTTCAAAGTTCCTATTTAGAATTAAACTTCATTATTTGGTCACTTAAAAATATATATATTTTGTTGATTTGAAAATGTTAGAGACAGGGATAAAAAGATCTTCCATGTGCTGGTTCATTCTCCAAATGTTTGCCATGTCCAGCGCTACTCCAGGCTAAGAGCCTAGAATTCTTATCTAGTCTTCCACGTAGGTTGTAGGGGCCAAGGTTTGTGGGCTATCTTCTACTTCCCTAGGCACACAAGCAAGCAGTTGGATTGAAACTGCAGCAGCAAATGGCCTAGGAAGGCAAGAGAGGAGGGCCCAAGTCCTTGGGCCTCTGCATCTGCATGGGTCTGAAAGAAGCTCTGGGCTCCCAGCTGCAGACCATCCTAGCTCCAGCTGTGTGGCCATTTATGAAATGATCCAATGCAAGATCTGTCTCTAACTTGCCTTTCAAGTAGAGAAAACACATCTTCAAAAGAAAAAATAATGGAGCAGCAGCAAAATTGAACTGGCATGCATATGTCTCCACTGTGCCACAAGTTCCTTGACTGCACAAGCAGGGAGTTAGATGGGAAGTGGAGCGGCCATACACCTACCATTCTGGCAGTTACAGAGGGTTTAGCCACCGAGCCAAGAGGCTGGACCCGGAAGTGGTTCTTTCAACTGTGTTGGCTTTGTCATTTAGGAAAGTGGTTCATTACTGAAAGTCACAAAACCACTTCATGCCACGATTACCAAACCTAAAACTTTTTAAGCAGAAATTTATCCCATCTCCTACTAAGGAACTGGGACAATCATCTGTTACCCTCTGTGTATACGATCTTAATCGTGAACTAGTATTCCTGCTCTTGGTATGAACAGAAGCAAGAACATTTTATAGATCCTGAACATAGAAGCTCATGATTCTGCCAGAGTATCAGTGGTTCCCCAGCTCTCTTGTTCACATAAAACCACAATGATTGCTATGATTCATTAAGCTAAGTTAAGGTTGCAGATTCTTTGTAATGGAACTTAACTGGATCCCACCAATTTCAGGCAGATGGCACCCAATACTTGATACAAAAATAAAGGACTGCACAGGAAACAGCATGGAATGTTACAACCCACTTGATTATAAACAAACAAAAACTCTTCAAAAGATGACAAGTTTTATTGTTATTACAAAAGTAACATTTTTAAACTTCATTTGAAAGTAACTGTAAGCAGACTGACGGTTTAATCCTCACACAGGCACCGAGTCAGGCACAACAGGTAGCTACAAATCATATCTAAGTGAAAGATCTCTTTCCTGCCTAGAACACTCTACCATACTTTGGAATTAGGCTTAAAAACTTAGCAAACCTAATTAGTTCCCTTTAATCCTACTTTTAAATATCTGGGTGTTAACCTGCTGTCTAGAGAAAATTAGTTATTGAATCTTGGCCTCAGGATATCCACACTTCCTGTAACAGAAGGAACTAGTTAATGAAGAGTGTGTGAACCCAGTGGTATCCTCTGAAATGTAGGTTGGCAGGCTCAGACCGGGCTCAGCCATTGCACATGAGCAGGACAGGAATGCCAATGCCAGCACTGACACTTCCCTGGGCATCAGGAAAGGAGGTAGAGAGAACACGGGCTGTCGTCTGAAGCACTAGTAAGCTTGTGTGCCTAGAGGGGAGCACGGAATGTCACTCCACCTGTGCTGTCCACAGCCTGAGGTTCCCAGGTTGTTTCAAAGGGCACAGTGGCTTGTGGATCCAAGCAGGAGACAGTATTTCATTGTTTCATGAATCCGTAACTTTTTTGCCTGCTCAGACCAATGGTCCATCTGCCTCTTCCTTGGTACTGGAGAACATAAAAGTTTTAATCTTCACTCCCACAGCCCAGGCCCTTAGAGTAACCTTAGTAAACAACTCAGCAAGCATAGGATTAGAGGTATGTGAGAAGTGTATTTATTAAGAAAAAAAAAGGTGTATTTACTGAAAACATGACCAAGTTCTAGGCCACTGAAAATCAGTAGCCTAAAACCAAAACCATCAAAATCTGACCCAAATCTACCCTACCTGAATTCTGGTAGTGAATTGATTCAAATGGAATCCACTGAACTACTACTACTAGAAAATAAAGACTTCCATTTACTATGAAAACTAACAAATTTAAGCTTAATATGTCTCTGGCTTTACATATGTAACTAGACTTGACAAATCTGCTGTCATGACAAAATGTCTAAACAAAGCAATAAGCCCATGAATGTGTTGGGCACCCGTGAAAATCACTGAAAAAGGAGGTGGAGGGAATCCAAGCCTTATTTGGAGGCAGATAATCATCTGTCAAACCCAGTTTACGTTATCTCCTTCACATGTCTGTGAGAGGATTAATGGCACAGTTTGTTGTGATAAAGTAGGCCAAAACTGAATATAACATGTAATCATTCCACAATTAAAGCTATAGCACTGTACCCAAAATTTTTATAAAGCTGTCCTAAAGTTTGGAAGTTATCTGATGTCAGGAGTGGTGATAAATACTGCATTTTGTCCCTTGACTACCTTCAGTCGCTACCAGGGCAGTGACGTTGACAGCACAGCAGCAGTCCACGGGCACAGCCACATCCTGTGCAGGTCACCCAGGGGCACATGGTGCTCGGTCAGCAGTGCTCCTCAAGATCGCCAGGGCAGTCCCAAGTTCAACATGGGAACAGTTTTTGACCGTAAGTTCAAGTCTTGGGTTGCAAGTGTGACTCACAATACATGCAGTACGCGTCAACTGTTCTGCCACATTGTGTTCAAAGCCTCATCCTGCCAAAATAGTTCTTGTAGTGGCGTAGCTCACAGACACAGTGGACAGCCTGTATTTCTACACATCATGAACTCTTTGCAATCAGTTACCACCCATTTCAAGATTTTAATTTAAAACAAAGACATATATAGGGTTTTTTCCAAGAACACGATGTCAATTTCATGGCAACATAATACTCAAGACTACCTATTTTGGATTCATATCAACATATTTTTAATGGATAAGTTCTTTCTATAATTTAAGAACAAGTGCTCCATTTCCCCTTCCCCACAATAGGAAATATGGTTTAAAATTGCAGCGATGTGATTAAATCTCAGCTCATCCATTTAATAGCTTATAATCTAGCATGAAAAGTATATAAAGAACATTGTTAATGTAAAGGAATGCAAAGAAAAATGGCTAATATAGTATGTCAAAGATAGGAAAACATGTTTAAATGTTAGCCCTAAATATAAAGCCAATTACCTACCCATTTTGCACTGCCAGCCACACAAACACCTCCACTTGCAGAGGTCAGAGTGACAGCGCGGGCAGGCACACTGCCTCTCTGCCTTAATTCCTTATCCAGGTGACTCGCCAGAGTAACCAGGAGTTAAAAATCGTAACAAGTTAACTGGGAGTACTTTACGATTTTCAAAACCCACAAGACATTTTTTTTTTAGCAGAAGTGCACAAATTCAATGAAACTTTTTATAATTAAAATGGTTTCATGCTATTTTTAGAGGTATGCTCTCCCATGTCAATTTACATGGCAACATGTACATACACTGTAACAGTGAAAGTGCTTTAATAGCAAACCTAAGTGGTTCTAAAAATGTGTTCAGTTTAAAAAGGAAAATATATTCAAGTAATTTCAATGACTTTTGAACTTTAAACATTCATTATAATTCAAGTAATTTGTTAGTATTTATTCTTATTAACACAGAAGTACAAAAAGAACTGTTAGATTCCGATCAAAGCTTCCCTACTTCCCTGAAAAGTAAAAGCCCAGGGGTTTGTAGACATAAATCAGTCTCATGCAATTTCACAGCCATTAGTATAGCTGTAAGAAGCTGTAGCAGACAGCTCACGTCCGTAAGATAGTCTCATTCGTGAAATGACTGGGAATTTCCTACTAAGAGACCATTGGATTAACTTTTATGACTAGAAGACTGGGCTTTGCTTTTCTGAGGCGACTGTGGGGAAGGGAGCTGTCATTGAACAAAGCATCTAATTTAGACCACACATCACGAGCCTTCAACGCATGCACACGCTGAACATCGAGGATGCTTCCAGGGAGCTCGGCGACTGCTTTCATTTCCCCTTTAGGCTCCTGAAAGACTCCAAAATCGCGGTACTGACAGCAGACAACTTTTAGCAAATTTCAGCCTTAAGAAAACTCAGTCATTTCAAATAAGTGACAGAAAATGTGTACTGAGCTTGATTCTACTTTTCCTTACTAATTCTGGTTTGTGTAGATTCTTGTGATTGATTCTTAGTATGTTCTCTTTATGTTACTGGATTGAGATTCAGAGCTTTGATGAGAACAGGGTTCAGCCAACCTTTAGTTACTGACAAAGATTAAACTGGGTATCTTTGTTTCTTTTTTTCTTATCTTATAGACGTGGTACTTGTCAAGGATATGGTTTTATAACACATGCATGCTGCTCTTGGAAACACTGAGTGAGGCATTTCTATCAGTTCTCAACATGCTTGCATTATTGTAAATTCCACTAAGTTAATCAGTGGGAATTACTATAGGGGCACAATTTATTAAACTTTACTTATAAAAGGTACAGTATGTTGTTCTCTTTAAAAACTTACTATGTTTAATCATATTAAAACATAAATTGGCAAGAAGTAACTGATACATCCAGTAAGCCAGTGTTCCAGCCACGTAAAGGTATCTAATTGTACACATGCACTGGATAGTAAAAAAGATGTGTTCCAACTAATTCTTTGCTTTAATACAAACTTGAACATTGTTTTTGTAAATGCCTAATTTAAAGTGGGTAGGGAGAATATAGAAAAGTCCAAGTAATAAAATGTATTCGGTTACTTGTGAAAGTTAAAAAGCTAATGCAACAATGTTACATACAGATAAAAAAAAAACATTATTCGAAAGCAATTCAATACCGAAAAGGGTTTTCAAATTGAAGATTTTATTAACATGGTACTTGTTTTTGTAACATGTGCACACACACACGCACACTCAGAATGATCTGCCTGGGAAAAAGGACTGAATAAACCTATGGGGAAATGAGAAATAAAAAAATTCCTGTTGGTTTTCATTATTATAGGCAATTATGTCCACATCACTTACAAAGCTATCGCCAAATCTGTCCAAGGAAGCTAAGTCAGGGGGTAGAGGGACCTTGGGGGAAATTCAACAGTGGCATAGCAGAGCTCTCAATATGAGAAAGCTGACATAATGTGGACTTTTGCTGTGAATTTTCTCTCTGCAAAATATGGGGAGAGGTTTATCAATGGGCAGAAAACAAGAGAAGGCGGTGTGAAGTAGGCTTTTGCAGTCAGTTTTTCTCACAGTATTGTGCAGGGTCATCGAAAAACGCTTAGTCTTTTTCTGGAACCAGTTTCAGCACTTTTCCAATTGCAATGGTCTTACCTAGAAATGAAATTAAAAAACAAAAACAAAAGCAACTTTCAGCAGTTAACAACAAATCTTTGTAGATATTGTTAGTTTAAATCATTACAGTACTCTTAGAAGGTCAGTTCCCAAGTTTATTGCTAACTCCAAATGATGAGGTGCTTGGAGCGCGTGGGTGCATTTAGGGGAGCTGGGAGAGAGGATTTTCTATTGAACAGTGAAAAGGAACCAATTAGAGTAAATGCTACAAAATGGCTGATGCCAAGAGTGAAATCACCATCATCACTTTTCCCTTTCTAGATGCTTCTGAAGTTATAACATCAGCATCTAATGATGGTTGTAAATACAGAAATTCATTGAATTACAGTATAAACAGGTCAGATTCATGGAAAAACTTCAGGTTGGGGATCCTTTACACAAAATCCCTAGCATCACAAGTGTTTGGATTTTCAGTTTTTAGAATTTTGGAGCATGCTGAGCAGGCACAGCCTAAATATTAGAACTCTTGCACATCGCACTGGTAACTCACATAGTTCTGGGTCTTAAAAGTTTCTTAGATTGGGGATGCTCAACCTGTGCCTCTCAATAAAGGCACTAAAAACCTCCTTCAGTTCTTAAGCAACTGAGAGATGCAGCAATACTGGCAACCACTGACTCAGTAATGTTCTGTGGAATGAAAGGGTCACAAAACCTTAGGGTCTTAAGAAAAAAAAAATATATAGAATAATTCTGGATTCCCGCTACCTTACTTTCTTGCCTGCCTGAAATGATCACGTTCTGACTGGCAACTACAATTAGCATGACAACCAACAATAGCTTCGTTGTCATCAAGAAGAGCTGATAAGGACTTTTAGAGTGAAGGGAACACTGTCTTCCAGCTCTGTCAGAAGCTTCCCCAGGACTTGGCACAGTTCCTACTGACCACAGGTACACTGTGGATTTTTGCTGAATGAACTGGCTACTGTGGATTTTAAATGAACCATGAAGTTGTGTGCAATCTTAAAAAATAGTTATTTAAGTTAGAAATGTTAATCACTCATAAAGTTAATATCCTGTAAAAGTCATTCTATTTTCACACCAAAGAATTCGTGACTTTAACCAAGGAAGGCAGCCAATTTGAATAACTGAGGCAGAAATGGCTGCATACAAAATAATATGAGTATTACAATACCTCTAAAAGATGAGGCACTCTGCTGTTCAATATATGCAGCTTGTACATCATTACACAATGATTACTCTGGCCGGTGCCAGCGTGGAGATCCACTATGACTGACCAGTCTGGAAGTTCTTACCCTCATCTCTTAAGGTGAAACGACCCATCTGAGGGAAGTCCTTAAAGGTCTCAAGGCAGATGGTTCCCGCTGTCCGCAAACGAGCGATGCACACTTGATCTTGTTTCACAAAACGTGGTCGAGTCTTACTTTTTTCTCCTGACTTTTTGTCTACCAAGCAGATTAAGGCCTATCCAATAAAACAGAAAATCAGAATTATGCCAAATAGAAAACTCTAAGAATGAAAGTGCACATGAAACACCATCACTGTTACCAACTAAACTATTAAAGTATCTTAGAACCTATAAATGAATAAATGATCCTCAAAACTCACCGTTATCTCAACTTCCTCAATGCAGGTATGAATATGCAACACCGCATTATAACCTGGGCAGATGATGGATTTGTGCTCTATAATCACTATCTGTCAAAGAAACAAAACATTCGCAATTAAAAAAAGTTTTGTTTTATTGAAAAGGCAGAGCAAGGGTGTAGGGGGACAGACGGGAAGGGGGAGGGAGGGAGGGAGATCTCTGCTGGCTCACTCCGCAACGGCCAGGCCAGGCTGAACCAGCAGCCAGGCCCAGGTGGGGGTGGGGACCTCCTAGGTGCACAGCAGCAGATAGCTGGCCCAGAAGCAGGGAAGGGAATGTGGGTATCCACAAAGGCATCTCCATTACTAAGGCTATAACACCTGTCCCCCAAATATTTTATTACCAATATAAAACTACAAACTAAAAAATCCCAAACCAACTTTCACTCAGTATTCTAAAGAGCCACATAATGCCACAAGAATTAGTATTCCACATAATCTCAGTGTGCTAATCAATGTAAGTTACTTCTATGTTTTAAGTGCTAGGTCTTTCTAACTCTGGATGAGCCAGACTGCCTGACCTCAAAGCATGAATTTCAATAGTCTACACCCTAATGATTCTGGCAAGTGCCTGGTCAATTTAAAACACAGCAGTAGACTTCTTGTTCACAAGTCACTGAAATGTGAATTTACCATTGTTTCTCAACACTCATGGACCAGTAAAAGTAAGCAATTTTATGTACCTGGCATAAAAATCTCTATAGAATTCAAAAATTCCATGACAAACTTTGTCATTCTGAGGATGTCAAGTTGCCAGTTACTCAGACTACATGTAAGCTCCTGACTGGAAAGTTCTCTTCTCTCAATGGAACACACAAAGTATGACTCCCAAGGCAATCGTGCTCATGTCAAAGCAAAAAGACAGTTTGTGTAAAGTGTAACTAATGGTATTACTGTCACAGATTGACAAAGAGAAATCAACATAGATCAAAAATAACAAACAGCAATGAATATATCCTACCCAGCGAGCACTTTTGCCCCTTAAAGGAAGTTGCATGTGCGAGATATGTCACGGACATGATTTGTCAGTGGTTTATACTTTTTCAATACCCCTCCACACACTAATGGCGGTAAAATGGCAGGACAGCACTTCTCAGGACAAAAGCAAGTTCAGCCAGACATGAGAGATCCCTAAAGCCTCTACAGTAATGTTTACCTGGGCATCAAATGTTCGTCCAGAATGACAAAGGTTATTAGCATCACAAAGGATGAAACCTGGAAGAATCTCTTCCTCTTCAATTCCTTTCAGTCTGATTTTGAGGTTTTCTCCTGGGGCTACAGAATCAGTTTCTACATCATCAGAAAGTATTCCAAGAACTTCCACATTGTGCTTAAAAGAAATGAAGATTGGAGATTTTTTGACACATGCATTGTAAACACTAAACACAACATGACTTGAATTACAAATCACTTTTTCTGTGAAGTGAATCATTAGCCAAATACTTATTTGAGTATCAACTCTCACTACATATGGATGTCATGAATTTAATGGAAACAGTATACTACAAGTAGAAGTTTCAATTTTTTTTAAAGGTTTATTTTGTCAGGGCCCAGCGGAAGCCTAGTGACTAAAGCCCTTGCCTTGCATGTACTGGGGTCCTATGTGGGCGCTGGTTTGTATCCCAGCTATTCCATTTTCTATCCAGTTCCCTGTTTGTGGCCTGGGAAAGCAGCAAATGACTCTACGTGAGAGACCAGGAAGAAGCTCCTGGTTCCTGGCTTCAGACTAGCTCAGCCCTAGCTGTTGTGGCCACTTGGGGAGTGAATCGGCGGATGGAAGATCTTTGTCTTTCCTCTGCTCTGTTTATCTGTATATTTTGTCCGAAACAGGGAGGTTATTGTCCATCCACTGATTTACTTCTCAAAACATCCAGGGTTGGGAAAAGATGAAGTAAGGAGTCTGTAACTCCATGTGGATTTCCCTCACGGGAAGTAGGGATCATTGGGACCATCATTACTGCTTTCCAGGCATGTTAATGGGAAAGCAGACTGGCAAATGGAACAATGGGGTAGTGGCCTGTGTAACTGGGGGAAGGCCTGACTTAGCCCTGCCAGCTGCAGTTACTTGGAGAATTTTTTAATTGAAAACATTAACTCTGAACTTTTCATCTTGTAAAACCTAAAACTCCATACCCAGTAAGCAACTGCTGAGTGCCCCACATACCAGATATCACCTTTCTGTTTCACTATGGGTTTTTTTTTTTTTAATTTTCAGGATTTATTTATTTTCTTCTAAACTATTTACTATTTATTTACACTGGGTTCACTCTCCAAATGGCCTCAATGGCTGGACCTGAGCCAATCCAAAGCCAGGATCCCCCAGGCAATACAGGGTCCCAAGGCTTTGGGCTGTCCTCAACTGCTTTCCCAGGCCACAAGCAGGGAGCCGGAGCATGTAAGATGAAGATCTAGCCATTAAGCCATCATGCCAGCCCTGACTGTGTTTTTCATATGCATATACATCAATTTCAACATTTTTACGCATCAAAGTAATCTTTTTAATTTCAGTTTCCATGAACTTTTGCAAACACCCTCATATAACTGAATCACACACTGATTGGTCTGTGATGGTTTATTAATATGATTCCATGACCTCAAGGTCATATAATGTGCCATAATATGCCAAATCTCCTTTATAAGGATAGTATTCACTACATGTATATGCACATCTGTTCATCTGTCAATAGATATTAGGTTACTTTCACTTTTCAGCTACTATCAATAATGCTGCAACAAGCACTGCCAAACCAATATCTGAAAAAGGTGCTGTGTGCACTACAGTCTGGTTTGAGTCTCAGCTGCTCCACTTCGGAACCCTATCCCTTGCTAAAGTGCCTAAGAAAAAGGGGAGGCTGGCCCAGGTAATTGGGCTCTGCCACCAACATGGGAGACCCGCAAGGGGTTCCAGGACCACCTCTAACTATTCCAAATAAACCTCGTCTCTCCACATGTTAACACTTGCCGTTTTCTGTTTAACTGTTGCTGTTTTTTTCTTCGTAACAGCTATTCCGCATATGAGGTACTGTCTCATTGTGGTTTTAATTCTTACTTCCCTAATGGCCATGAATCATATTCACATTCTTGATCACCATTTACACTTCAGTTCCGTAAGACATCACCGTCTCTCAGTGTCTGCCTCAGCAGGAAGCTGTCATCAAGAATCAAAGCTAGATGGCAACCTTAGATACACTGATGACCTAACAAATGTTTTTTAGCTGCTAGGCCACCACGCTGGGCCCCTGACTTGATTAAAAAATATATATATATATATATATAAATAATATCCAGTATATTATATGTATATATAATGGTGTGTGTGTATATATATATACTAGATATTAAACCCTTACCATCTATAGATACAGTTGCAAATATTTTCTCCCATTCTATATGCTGCCTACTCAATATTAGAATTTATAAAACATTCATGAGGCAGACAGAGCTACCAAATTTGACAGGAAGTCAAAACTGCGAGTTGAAGTTTGAAATCACACCAGAGATTCTAAGGTGAGACACAACTGTCTTAGCCACCAGGCTGAACCTGTAGTCTTGTACCTGATTCAACAAAACAAAATCCTAACTTTTTAAAAAGTTAAAGTCTTCGAATGGAAGGAAACCAACCACCCCCTTGGAAAACTCTGGCTCCCCGCTACTCGTTAAGATCCACCCTGAATGGGAACGAGCGTCTCCTTACCTTGTTAGGCATCATCACAAGTTGCTGGCCTTTACAAATGGATCCCGATTCCAGCTTTCCCAGGACCACAGTGCCCATATCCTGTTAAAATCGAGTTTCAGACTTTGATCGCTAAACTGCTGCAGCTGAACAGCCCAAAGTGAAAATTCAAGGAGGTTACTTATAAAGGAGCATCATTAGCTCAGAGTGGCAGAATGGCTAAGAACAACCATAACCACGGAGGTAACAGGCTGTGATAATTTACGCAATAAGTATATATAAATGCAGGATGTTAGTAGTAACGAAGCATTTTATTCTTTCAGGAGAAAGCATGTAATGGACTCTCCCCTGGAGATGGAAACTGTATGAATCCAGGTTCTATGGGTCTTAGCCTGCTTCCTCATATGTGAAGATTTACTCAAGAATCTTAGAATGAATTCAGAGGAGCTATGAGTACTCAAAGAAGACAAAATACAAATGCCTATTGCAAAACTTATGACCGAATGGAAAATTCAGCAAAGAACAACCAAGTCTAATTTTTAAAAAACATATTTAAGCTCTAATGTTGGTGAGGCTATGATAAAACTAATGCTAATGCTGCTGGTGGTCATTTAAATTAGCACAATATTTTTGGAAGCTAATTATTGGTAGGTATGAACTAGAATGTGAAATTTTTGGGGGGCCCAGTAGTTTACTGCTAAGAAGTGATCATTGCGCTTGGAGCCCCCTCCTGTCACTAAGGCTCTTTCTTTCCTAAATAAATCATACTTTGCAAACTTAAAAAAATAAACAAATAACTCATTGGGTTATTGGAAAATAGCTGACATAAACTAAATTTATAAATTTGAAGTACCTTGTACTTATCCACAATTGGCAGTCTGATTGGTCCATCAACTGATCTATTGAAGTTTGGCAAATTATCCAGATATGGAATAAATGGTAATCCACTGAAAACAATGAAAGTTAATGAGTCAACACAACTAACAAAATCTGAAGAACTTACATGACTATAAGCAAAAGTAATTATATTTTTATACTGCTCTATTCTCTTCTCATTCAACCAACTTATTATCAATTTCATGGTATTTATTCCCAAAAAGCTAAAAAGTAATAGGTCAGGATTAGATTCCCCATAAAGTTGTACTAACATTTAGAAAATTATTTTACGTAAACAACCCAAATGTAATCAAGTGATCACATTCTGTATTTTAAGTATATAGATAATATTTACTTAAAAAACAAAGTTACAGATAGAAGACAGAGATCTTCTATCTGCCAGTCCACTTCCTAAAAGGCCACAATAGCTGGAGCTGAGTTCCTTCTAGGTCTCCTATGTGGAGGACCTGGGCCTTTCTCTGAGCTTTCTCAGGCACATTAGCAGGGATTTGAATGGGACACAAACCTTTGGCCATATGGGATGATGGTGCCACAGCCAGTGACTTTACCTGCTATACCTCAGTGCCAGCCACTCCTGTTAGTGCTAAGGTCAATGTTGTCTTAACTAAAACTGAAGGGTAAGAGATACTTACATGTACCAAGGACAGAAATCTGACTGCTCTTTGAGGTTTGCTCCCGTCAGCCCTGAACAGGGCATGAAGTGGATGTCCTTCTTGGGATTGAAGCCAACTTTTTTCAAAAATGGCACTAGTTTTTCTTTACATTCTTCGTATCTAGGAATATTTATAAATAACTCAATTATAATGTAAACCAAGTAATTCTAGTTTCATCAGTAAACACATTAAGGTTTAAAAAAGCTTCAGGAAAACGGTATATAGTAACAAACCCAGCCTTTGTTCTACTAACTTATCTATAAAAACAAGTGTGACATTTAAACTTACCTCTCGTTGCTCCAATTTACTGTCGGGTCATCCATCTTATTAATAAGCACAATTAAGTGTTTTACACCTGCCGTCTTGGCCAACATTGCATGTTCTCTTGTCTGTCCTCCTTTTTCAAATCCAGTTTCAAACTCTCCTTTCCTGGCGGAGATGACCTATTCCAATAAATGAAGCCTTTCACTCTGAGCCACCCTGAGACATACAACTTGTCGTTTCAGTTACATCCAAGTTTTGGCAAGAAAACAGAAGCAAACGAATCACAATATATGTACTTTTTAAATGCAACAATTCAAAAGTATAAACTTTGTAATGTTTCTTCTACCACAGAACTTTCCAAAATTGGGTATGTGTGTTTACTATTATTTACGTGACCTAATGTCAATACACTGTAAAAATTGCCAAGTGATCACAGGATTCAAGTGCCAGACGGTTCCTTACTCCTTCCTGGTGGGCTGGCTTCCACAGACCTAGGTTCTGAGACAGTAACAGAAAACAGCAAAGGGAGAGAAAGCTGAAGCACTGCAGAAATGAATTACAAAGATTTCGTGCGCAGATTAACCTGACCAAAGTGAGTAAGATGACTGTGGTTATTACAGATCACTACAGTGTCAGTGTGGCTGTCAACAAACACTCAAATAGATTGTAAATGTCTTCCTTACCAGCACAGCCAAATCAGCTTGAGAGGCGCCACCAATCATATTAGGGACAAAGCTCTTGTGGCCAGGCGCATCTAGAATTGTGAAATGCTTCTTCTCCGTTTCAAAGTAGGCACGACCCACTTCTACTGTTTTACCTTTGTCTCGTTCTTCCTGATTTGTATCTAGGGCCCAAGACAAGTACCTGAAATAATATTTAAAATAACAGTCTTATTAAGAACATGAGTGTTTTAAGTATGTTCTTCATTCAAAATGTATGATGGCATTCAGTTTTATATCTGCGTATAGAAATTAAATCATGAACAGGACGACTAAAAACAAAAATCAAAATAAATCTTGGATGACTGTGATTCAACCACTTGAAGCTTTTACATACATCCACATTACTATACATTTTATAATAAAAAACTATACAGAAACAAGCTGACAACATTCACGGTAAAGACTGGTGCCAGAGAGTTAGCCAATAATGAGCTCCGTTATGCTGCATGTTTACAATCATCTGGCACAAAGTATACAAATAAGCACTTTCTGGAAGAGAATTTCTCCACAGTCAAGGCCACCAACTACTATTGCTAAGCAATGATGACCTGCTACAAAATATCATCTCATTATTACTTTGTTTTGTAAAAATTATTTAAATAGCTCAACCTATGCATGATACTAAGTGTGGTGGCACAGGGACGCTGGTGTCCCATGTGCACGATGGCTCCCTCCCTGCTAATGCATCTGAACAAGAGCAGAGAATGGCCCACATGCCTGGGTCCCTGCCATCCGTGTGGGAGATGTGGATGGAGCTTCAGGTTCTAGGCTTGACTTTGACCCAGCACTGGCTATTGTGGCGAGTGAACCAATCAGATGGAAGATTTCTGTTTCTCCAACACTATCTTTCAAATATATACATGTTTTAAAACAAATGTCAGGTTTCTTCCATGTTCTATGTTTCATAATCTATAATTCACTTTTAGTATAACAGTGATTAGTAATTTCTTCCACTTGATACAGAAATGCATTTTCTTTTAAATGATCACTAAATCGTTAAGACTTGATAAAAATCATATATATGGGTCTGGTGGTAGCCTAGGGCTTAAGTCCTCGCCTTGCATGCACCAGAAACCCATATGGGCGCCGGTTCATATCCCAGCTGCTCTACTTTCCATCCAGCTCCCTGCTTGTGGCCTGGGAAAGCAGTCAAGGATGGCCCAAAGCCTTGGGAGCCTGCACCTGTGTGGGAGACCCAAAAGAGGCTCCAGCCTCCTGGCTCAGCCCCAGCTGACCATTATGGTCACTTAGGGAGTGAACCAGTGCATGGAAGATCTGTCTCTCCTTTTCTTTGTAAATATGACTTTCCAATAAAAAAAAAAATCTTTTAAAAGATTTGTATGTTGGGGCCCGGCGCGGTGGCGCAAGTGGTTAAGTCCTCGCCTTGCACGCCCGGGATCCCATATGGGCGCCGGTTCTAATCCCGGCAGCCCCGCTTCCCTTCCAGCTCCCTGCCTGTGGCCTGGGAAAGCAGTTGAGGACGGCCCAAAGCTTTGGGACCCTGCACCCGCGTGGGAGACCCGGAAGAGGCTCCTGGCTTCGGATCGGCATAGTATCGGCCCGTTGCGCTCACTTGGGGAGTGAATCATCGGATGGAAGATCTTCCTCTCTGTCTCTCCTCTCTGTATATCCGCCTTTCCAATAAAAAATAATAAAAATAAATCTTAAAAAAAAAAAAAAAAAAAAAGATTTGTATGTTGGAATGCATCCAACATGGTAGCTAGGACTGTGGTGGCCTGTGGGATCCTATTAAGAGGCTCCAAGGCCCAGAGTGGTAGCCTAGCGGCTGAAGTCCTCACCTTGAACACACTGGGATCCCACATGGGCACCAGTTCTAATCCCAGTGGCCCTGCTTCCCATCCAGCTCCCTGCTTGTGGCCTGGGAAAGCAGCAAAGGGCGGCCCAAAGCCTTGGGTTCCTGCACCCGCGTGGGAGACCCAGAAGAGTTCTTGGCTTTGGCTCAGTTCAGCTCAGCTCCAGCCATTATGGCTGCTTGGGAATGAATCATCTGATGGAAGATCTTCCTCTCTCTCTCTCCTCCTCTGTGTGTATCTGACTTTCAATAAAAATGTTAAAAAAAAAAAAAAAGAGACTCCAGAAAGAGGAGGCAAAGGGCCTCCCTTGTCAATCTCACACCAACGGTGCTTTGATCCTGGTACCTCACCCTGCTTACATGTGTGTGACACGAGTTGTATATCAAACCTGACAATTGTAACCGATGTCTGAGCTGAACTATGTTTGAAGTGTTGCTCTGCTGAATGTATACAAACTGGAATCCTGGAAATAAACTTTGTCAGTTGCCTAAGAGAGTACTGTCCCCCCATTTCTTTTTAATAACACAGAGGAACTCCAGAGACAGAAAAGTTTCTGTATGTCCCCTTTCTAATTGTTCTTGTACTAATTCTATAAGAGCCTGCAGTTTCTCTTGATTTAGGGGCCAATGAGTGTCCATACCGGTGTTTCGGACAACAGGCTCAATTGTCTCAACAGCCCCTACGAAAACCCAGGCCCTGACAATGTAGGTTAGCAGATGCAGTAAGTAGCTCAGTAGTTCCTTGCTGACATTTTCCTAAACCTTTTCCCCTCTCAATATATACATATGCATGTATGTTTGCCTTAGCAACAAGCCTCTGGTCAGGACACCAGCGTCTTGCCAGCTACATGGGAGACACAGACTATTTTTCTAGCTCCTGGCTTCAGCTTGGCCCAGCTCAAATCATGTGGGTATTCAGGAGTAGACCATGGATGGGCAGCCTCTGTCTTTGGCTTTCAAGTAAGTACTATTTTTCAGAGGTAATTTATGGCACCATAAGTTTATTATACCAAGTTTCTCTGTTTTTTTCTTTAGCTTCTCTTTCATATTTCTCGAGCGTCCTTTTATCAACCATTCCAGTCAAATACCTAAAAATATTTAGAGAAAAAAGATCATTTAATTACAAAGTACTCAATTCTGCTAGAGGAATCTTAACTCTACAAAAACAGGTATTATAGGATCTGTGCTGTGGTATAACAAGTCAAACCACCATCTGCAGTGCCAGCATGTCATATGGGCTTTCTACTTCCAACCCAGCTTCGGCCTGGATGAGCAGCAGATGGCCCAAGTGCTGGGAGACCCTGGGAGTCTCTGCCTTCAGCCCAGCCCAGCCCAGCCTGGTTCCAGCTGCTGCAGCCACAGTGGGGAGCAAACGAGAGGATGGAAGATCACTCTGTCTCTCCCTCTATGTCTGTAATTTTTTTAAGAAAACAAATAAAACTTTAAAAATTGGAAAACATGTATTAAGCTCAAATTAGAGTTAAGGGGAAGAAAGAATGATTTTACAGTGTGGTATTCTGACAGAAGACAGCTTAAACCAAGTAATCATGGCTAGTATCACCAATAATACATAAAACATATTGAATAATGAAAACATGATTATTAAAATCATGTTGCAGGCATTTGGGAGTTGAGGCTTGAACCAGCATATGGGAATGCTCGGTCTCAAAAACAGAAATGTAAAATAAACATAAAGCTAAGTAATTTAGTATACTAAGCCCACTGAACATTACAACTTAGCCTAGGTGTTAACAGTTAACATTAGTCCACAACTGGACAAAAGCTATTTTATGGGGCTAGAGGGGCAGTCAGTTAAGCTGCCATTTGCAAAGGCAACAAACAATATCGAAGCAACAATTCAAATTCAGCTGTTCTGCTTCTAGTCCAGTGTCTGTGGATACTTCTGCAAAGGCAGCGGATGACAGCCCAAACACCCGGGCTCCTGTCTGTATCCTAACCCAGATTTAACCACTGAGCTGTGGTTTCAGGTGAAGTGGGAGATCTTTAAGAAGTTTCTGGCTCCCAGCTTCAGATGGTCCCAGCTCTGGCCATTTCGGCCAGTCGGAGACTGGTCCAGTACATAGAAGGTTGTCTACCATTCCTTTTCTAATTCGGCCTTTTAGATTAAAAGACACTACAACACTACAATGTAGTATACTGCAGAGGGTCACATGTTTACCTTCTTGGCAGCAACCTCGCATCACAAGAGAATTTCGACTGCCTAAGAAAAGCTCAAATCTCACTTCTTCTAAATGCATTTGGTTTCTGTACCATCTGTATATCCAAAGCAGATTAAACTTTCTTGAAATTTAGGGTTCTGTGTTTATTTTTACAAAAAGACAGTTTTCAGAAACAGAATGCTCCCTCAAGCTGACATTGACTAAAATATGCCAGAAAATACTAACAGTGACCCCAGTGCAAAATGACTTAGCGTCTTCCTCCTCCTCTCGGAATTCTATTACCAATTTTCCTTCATTTCTCTCAACCTGATTTTTCTTTTTATAGCTGTAAGAATATTTATAATGTCTTAAATCCATTCAATCAACTCAACTCTTCTTTAACAAAGATGCAGACTTACATTATTTGTCCTCCAATGGTTGACTTCCCAGCATCTGGAAGGAGCAACAGTCTAAAGGTTAAACACATAAGCAAGCTCTCGCTCTGCAAACACCACTGCAGTTACCATTTACATGATCTAAACTCTGCAAACCCAAGCGAGGTGCGTCAGGAGAGCGGACGTCAAGCCTGTTCTGTCTTCAGTCCCGTGAGGCCTCCCTCAGTCAGGCATGACTTGGAAACACTTTACTCAAGAGCTGTGAACTACATTTGGTAGTCTTCTTCCTTGCACTTTTTGCAAACAGGCACACATTTCTTGATATATTTCAAAAGAGCTCTTGGTACTAAGGCAAGAAAGGCATGCAATTCTGTATTTTCTTAAGTGTTGCCTGTTTTCTTAAACCAGCAATCTGGCTGGTATCTAGAAGGTGCTCCAAATTATTAACTTCTTACTTTACACAAAATTTAAATAACCTCATAACAAATAAATGATCTGAAATTTATACACACCCAAAAAGGCATTTCCAGGGACTGGTATTGAGGCATATGGGATTGGGATGTCCCTGCAACACTAACAACCCATAGAGGCACCAGTGCGTGTCCCAGTACCTTCCTGTGAATGCACCTGGAACAGCAGAGGAAGATGGCCCAAGTGTCTGGGCCCCAGCTAGCCATGAGACCTGGATGAAACTCCTGGCTCTGGCCTGGCCATTTCACAGAGGGAACCAGTAGATGCAAGCTCTCTCTTTTGCTCTCTCTAACTCACCTTCCAAATAAACAGGTTTTCTACAAAACAGGCACACTTTCTGGGATATGAATGAACAGGCATTGATGTGTACGGAACCCTAACCGTGGGCTACCGACCAATGACACATCACTGACAATCATACAGAAGTTTCTTGCCTTCCAGTGTCCACATCATTACCAAACTACAACAAAGTAAAAATCTACCAAGCTAAAGAGAATGCATTTTAAACTGAGTTTTAAGCAGAATGTTCTTCATGCCTGAGCGCTTGGGTCATCTCTTCTCCTCTTTGCTGTGAGTGCACTTACCCACATGCCCAATGAACACCACATTCACGTGCTCCTTTTTGGGGGCACCGGGAGGTGCCAGCACAGACTTGGGCTTCGGGAGCTCTTCTTCTTCCTCCATCATTTCCTGGGCACTGTCCTCGGCTTGCCTTCCATCTCCCAGGGAGCCACCCCCCGGCTCGGCCTCACTTATTTCTTCTTTGTGTTCCCATGATTCTTCTGGGGACATCTCCGTCTCTCCATTTTCTACTGAATGAATACATTTTCATTTAGTATTCTAGAGAAGATTTTATAATCTATACTTTAAAATACTCTGCATACACAGTTCCATTTCTGGCTGTCCAGTGACACATAAACAGGAAAAATCCTTCACAAGAGAAAAGGCTACCAGTTTCCAGGCTGGCCTCAGGGCTGCTGTCAGCCGGGACACTCAGAGACGGCTCCTGGCGCTCCACTGCCATAAGGACAAACAGAATGTAAACGAGAGAACAAACCTTCCTGCACGCCTAATGACCCAGTGTCAGGGTTCCACGACAGTGGGGGAGAAGGGACAGCTAAACCATGATAGGAGGCACTTTCCTTTTCCTCTTTAAAAAATGGAATGTATCAGCTTTAACAATCTCTTTGGGATTACAAAACCCTTAAGGAGTAACAGTTAGGAAAAAATTTTTCAGAAACCAAACAGAACAGATAACAATTATTTAAACTGACTTTAGCATTCATCCACACAGTTCTCACTACAATCACTAAATTCATTAAGGCAGCATTAATATCCAACTGCTTTTTAATATTAACAGCAAAGACCCAATGTGTCTTAAACACGAGGATTGCAATAACAACACTTACATCTGTACCTTAATCTTGAGAGTGTAATAGTTTCATATGAATGTATTAATATAGTCAGAAGTTTTCTTACCAACAGGTTCTGAAAGTTCCATGCTAATAGCTGAATTTGAGCCTAGTGAAAAAGATTGAAACATTTTTTAAGAAAATATTTAAGTTTGCACAGAATTCATGTTTGTAATCTAAGATTTCAAAAAGTTACATCATAATAAAATTACCTTCACACAATGACTGTTCCTCTTGAGGGGATTCCACAGGTGCTATTGAATAGAAATAAGTTCTATGAAAATCTGAGACATATACTTTCTTCTTACTTTTTGCACACAGTAAGATCAAAGTTCAGTAACATACTACAAACTTCAGCAACTCAGGTCAATAGAAACTCAAGGTTTCAAATGAGAAATATGCTTAACATACTGCGAAAAAAGCTACCAATCCCAGCCAGCTGTACATAAAGCAGCCTCAGTCCCTGCAATGCACTCCTGCGGGCATGCCTGTCCTCACACTGTCCAACCACCAGCCCGGCCCAGGCAGTCAAATCCACAGCTCCTCTCTGACCCAGGGAGGCTGTGACCACTGACATGTCATAATCACAAATGTTCTTCAGATTTCAGAATAAATTAAACTTTATCCCATGAAGATAAAGAAGTGTTTCTTTAAAGACCCTGAAATAATACAAACCCTTAAAACATCTGCAGAAAAAGTGACTCCAATGACTGGAGTTTATCCTATAACAGAACTTTATGATTAAACAATAATCCAGTTCTACAGTTTAGCACATCAGGTGATCACTGATCAACCTGAAACATCTCTGGACAAAACAGGATAAGCATACACTGCTACCCAAGACATATCTGCTTTTTTTTTTTTTAAGATTTATTTATTTTAATTGGAAAGTCAGATAATACAGAGAGGAGGAGAGAAAGAGGAAGATCTTCCACCCAATGGTTCACTTCCCAAGTGATTGCAACAGCTAGAGCTGAGCTAATCTGAAGCCAGGAGCCAGGAGCTCTTCTGGGTCCCCCATTCCGGTGCAGGGTCCCAAGGCTTTGGGCCGTCCTCAACTGCTTTCCCAGGCCACAAGCAGGGAGCTGGATAGGAAGCAGGGCAGCCGGGATTAGAACCAGTGATCATATGGGATCCTGGTACATGCAAGGCGATGACTTTAACCACTATGCTATGGCACTGGGCCTGACATATCTGTTTTTAATCACTGATGAATCCAAACGATACTCCAATATGCGCCGTGTGGTAGGCTAAGTCTCTGCCTACAATGCCAGCAACCCATGTTGGTTTAAGCACTGGATTCCATATGGCTGCTCCACCTTTGATATAGCTCTCTGTTTATGACCTGGGAAAGCAGGAGCCCCAATGCTTGAGCTCCCTCCCACAGCTGCCCCCCAGAGTCCACACGAGCGGATGCTGAGAGCAGGGATGGAACCCCAGGGCGCGCCGTGTCTAAACGACTAAGCGCAATGCTTGCTGCAGACTACAGTATCAAACCACAAGGGCCACAGAGGTTGCTATTACTAGACTAAGCTCCAAAATCAGTGGGTGTTAATCTTGTCCGTTTATACGTGGATATGACACCAGTAAGCTATTCAGCCTTTCCAAGCCATAATTTCTCTTTCTAAATGGGCCAACAGTACTGAACCCTCAAGAGAATACTAAACTGCTCAGAAATTATTACTACAAGCACAAGAAAGCCCCAGTAAGAACTGCAAAATCCTGGCAAGGCAAATGCAGGCCCAGTCTCTCAGATAATACATGCTGCAATGAGCTTCAGACGCACCCTCACCCCCAGCTTCCAACAACAGTGTGGCAAAGAAAGCCCCACTCCAGCAGCTGGCCAATGTGGACTTTAGATTCCACCATGTCATTAATGTTGGGAGCAGCCTTAAGACACTGAGCATCTCTGCACTTGACCTATCTGAAAACAAACTGATAGTGTTACAGCCACTGCAGCCCCGGCATTCTATTTACTCAGTCTCCAAAGCAATGCCACTCGTCACTCTGGTGAGCTTCTCCACAGTGACTGAACCCACCGTGCTTTCCAGACAACCCCAAAGACAGTCTTAGCATTTCTAGCCAATTTACTTTAAAAACAATTTCAGGTGCACTAAAATACCTAGATCATCTCCAGGAAGCCCCCAACAGCGAAGCTTATCTTTCTGCTACCAAAATCAGCCAGAGGAGCTGGACCCAGAGGGCAGCAGTGACACGCAGACGTGTGACAGACAATCCCGCAGGACGCCACCAGTGAGTGCCACCTTCCCGCGTCCTCGGGTTCTGTCAGGTGAACCGACTGATACTCATCACCTAACTGAAATGTGTTTGGAGCTGAGCATCACACTCCCAGGCCAGGCTGCAGAAAGACGCCCGGGGAAATCCTTCAAATGTTGCTTCTCTCCAAAGTGGGATTATGATAGGCACGTTTAATTTGCAGCATTGTAACAAGTAGGCTTCCTCAGAACAAAGTGATTTGTGAATAAACAAAATATACCCATGCCTTGTCAAAACTACTGAAAAGGAGGAATGGTCTGGAGGCTTGGGCATGAACCAATCAACAAATAAAAAGACAGAGGCCCTCAGAACAACCAAGAACCTTTAACTAGTGGCAAAATTCCTGCTGTTCAAATACAGTCCAAGAACCTGAATGAGCCAACAAGCTTTAAGCGAACATGCTCAATGGATACATTAACCAGAAGCACCGCTGCTACACTTTCCTGCTGTTTCATACAAAAGAAATCAGCACCACAAAGACAACCAGTTCTCAATTTTCTGACAGATACAAGGGAAACAAAGAAAAGCCAGGGTGTTCAGTATGGCAGCCTGGCTGCTAAAGACCACGCCTTGCATGCGCCAGGATCCCATATGGGCCCAGACTCTAATCCCAGCAGCCCACTTCCCATCAAGCTCCCTACTTATGGCCTGGGAAAGCGGTCGAGGTCCCAAAGCCTTGGGACCCTGCACCCGCATGGGAGACCCAGAAGAGACTCCTGGCTTCTGGCTTTGGATTGGCTCAGCTCCAGCCATTACAGCTACTTGGCGAGTGAACACACAGACAGAAGATCTTCTCTGTCTCTCCTCCTCTCTGTATATCTGACTCCCCCCCCCCCAAAAAAAGTGTCTGGTGGTGTCAAAGAATCAAGCTGCAGCTTGAGCTGCCAATACTCATCAGCAGAGCATCTCCACTTCCAAACCAGCTGCTTGCTCATGTACTGGGAGCCCAAGCACTAGGGACCCTGCACCCACATGCAAGACCCAGAGTTTCACAATTTGGCTTTTACCTAACTCACTTCTGACTGTTGCAGGCATTTCAAACTGACTAATAAAATAAATAATAAAATAACAAAATCTTTTGTTTTTCAAAGATTTTTTATTTATTTGTATTGGAAAGTCAGATTTACAGCTAGAAAGATCTTCCACCTGAGGGTTCACTCCTCAAGTGCTCACACTGGTGGGAGCTATGCCAATCCGAAGCCAGCAGCTTCTTCCAGGTCCCCCATTCCGGTGCAGGGTCCCAAGGCTTTGGGCCGTCCTCGACTGCTTTCCCAGACCACAAGCAGGGAGCTGGATGGAGGTGGAGCAGCGGGGAAAAGAACCAGCGCCCATGAGGTCCTGGCGCACGGAAGGCAAGCATTTACCCACGAGGCTACCATGCTGGGCCTGACATGACAGCTATCTTTTCATGTAGCACAATTTCAAAAAAAGGGAAAAACAAAGAAGAATGAGGTAACTATGTACTAACAGCCCTACACAAAATCAATTTCCAACAATTTCAACCACTACTCAACCTGGCGCAGCAGTAGTTGGTACATGCAGCTGTTCCACCAATCACACTCTCAGGACATTCACACAGGCAAAACCATAAAACAACAGCCAAATCTAATAATCAGAAAACAAAGGAAGAAAAGCACATACAACTAAAGGCACTGAAATTCTTTTTATTATAACACTGCTCTTTCTACTGTATTCCATTTATTAGCACACAGAAACCTAGAAACACCTGCATGTTAAACTGTGCCATTCTGGTTACCACCATGAACCTGACTTTAACAGTGTTCCCACAGGCCTGGTGGAGCACTAGGTTGGGCATTCATCCACAAAGCCAGCATAGCATATGGGCACTGGCTCAAGTCTTGGCCGCTCTGCTTCCCCAATTTCCTGCTAAATGCACCTGGGAAAGCAGTGGAAAATGGCCCAGGTTATTGGGAGACTCCAAGGAAGTTCTGGGTCCTTGCTTCAGTTCCGGTCCAGCCCTGACCACTGCAAACACTTTTCAAGAGAAAACCAGCAGGCATGGTGTGGAAGCCTAGTGACTGAAGTCCTTGCCTTTCACACGCTGGGATCCCATATGGGTTCCTGTGCTGGCAGTCCCACTTCCCATCTAGCTCCCTGCTTGTGGCCTGGGAAAGCAGTAGAGGATGACCCAAAGCCTTGGGACCCTGCACCTGTGCAGGAAACACAAGAAGAAGCTCTTGTCGTTGGATTGGCTCAGCTCCGGCTGTTGCAGACCCTTGGGGAGGTTGGTCCTTGTCCTTCCTTTTCTCTGTAAATCCGACTTTTCAATAAAAATTAAGAGAGAGAGAGAACCAGGAAATGCAAAGATTCTCTCTTCTAACACCTCTATTACCTTGCCTTTCAGGGGAAAAACAATGATGTTCTCAGGTTGTCTTCAGTAACTGCGAGAGAATAGAATAACAAAACCAAAGGGGGCTGGTGTGGCAGCTCATCAAGCTAATACTTCACTGGCAAGCACTGGCATCCCATACAGACACCAGGTTTGTATCCCAGCTGCTCCATTTCCCATCCAGCTCCCTGCTTGTGGCCTGGGAAAGCAATGGAGGACAGTGTAAGGCCTTGGGACCCTGTACCCATGTGGGAGACCTGGAAGAAGTTCCTGGCTCCTGGCTTCAGACTGGCTCAGCTCTAGCTGTTGCAGCCATTTGGAGTGAACCACTGGATGGAAGATCTTTATCTCTCTTTCTCTCTGTAAATTTGCCTTTCCAATAAAAATAGATAAATCTGAAACAAGAAACATCCTAGTGCCATTCTAGACAAGAGACCCACCACCATTCATTTCTCAGACCCCTCTCCTCTCTGGCCAAGTGTTGAAGGTGGCTGCTTGCCCTTGTAAACACACAAAACAAATCACAGTGCTTCCAGATGCCAACTCCACACAGACTCTGACAATACAGAGTCAACTCCACCTCTTAGGAAGTATCGAAGACTGCTGGTTTTAGTCTACACTCATTTTTAAAAGACACGGAGGGTAGAAGGTGTGAAGAAAAACAAAACACAAAACCATTATTTTAGAATTTCTGGTTACTGTAAAATTCCAAGTAACCATGACAAGCACTGCAGTGCAGAACATTAAGCTGCAGCTCACATCAGCATCCTGTATCAGAAGGCGAGTTCGAGTCCTGGCCGCTCTGGCTCTAACCCAACACCTGAGAAGCAAGCAAAGGTCCCTGTGGGAAACCAGGATGGAATTCCTGGCTTTGCCCAGGTCCAGACCTAGCTCTAGCAGGCACTTGAGAAATGAAAAAGCAGACAAAAGACTTTTCTTCCCTTCTTTATTACTGCTACTCAAATACAAAAATACATCTTAAAAACAGTCAAAAAAAAAAAGGGGGGATGAGCATGATGGCTCAACTGGCTAGTTTCCACCTTGCAGTGCCAGCATCCCATATGAGCACTGGTGCATGTCTCAGCTGCTCCACTTCCCATCCTGCTCCCTGGCTGTGGCCTGAGAAAGCAGTTGAGGTCCCAAAGCCTTGGGACCCTGCACCTGCATGGGTAATGTAGAAGCTCCTGGCTTCAAATCGGCTCAGCTCCAGCCTTTGCAACCATTTGGGGGAGTGAACCAGCAGATGAAGATCTTCTCTCTGTCTCTCCTTCTCTCCATAAATATGTCTTTCCAATTAAAATATTTTTTAAAAAAGGAACATGCTTTAAAAAAATGGAAAAATTGAGCAATTCATACAAATAAAATAGATCCCGAGAAAAAAGGGGAAAAAAAGCTCATTGTCAGAGAAAGGCTTGTTTCATTACATGTTAAGCTTTGTCTTCCAGTTTCCCTAATTTTTGGGCTCCTGTTTTAATGAGTATCACTTGGCCAATTTACTTGGTCCTATACAGAAATTGCATGTAAAAGAATTATACTTACTTCTACTTAAATGGGTTCTACCCCATCATTCCTTGGGAAATCTACATTCTCAAACTGTCACAGATCCATGGCCAACATCAGCGCCCCAGTTCCGACCCACCCTGGCCACCCCAGAAAGCACAACTACCGCCTCCCAGGAAGGGCAAGCGACACCTGCTACAACAGCATCTTCTAGCACTGGGTCACCAAGCCGTGCTCCATTTCACAAAAAGGAAAAACAAACAGGCCAGCCAGTCTCCAGGAGCAGTGCGACAGGCACTCTTCCCAGACAGGCACACTTAAACACCATGCTGGAGTTCTGACTGCTGGGCTCCTTGGCAGCTGCCTGGCTAACTAGCTTTAACTGCCCAACTTCAGCCACCGCTTCCCAGAGGAGGCAAACCCGGCAGGGCACCGGCACCAGCGAAGTCTCGCTAACTCCGACTTCTTTGTAAGCTCAGCCCGATGCTATCTCCAACTCCCCCCCTGCTTTTCCCAAGCATCATTCTCTGAGGCCGGCATTCCTGTGGAGCGCGGGGCCTGAAGCAGGCACTCTAACAGTCTCTCACCCCGGGCCTTCAGAAGGCATCTTCCACTCGACTGTTTCCTTAACACTGACATTTTGTAGGGGTAACCAGCAAACCCAGCAACACCAAAATACATCTCTGATTATTAACAAAACAAAACAAAAAGCGATCCTAAGGAAGTTTTCTTAGCAACAGGCAGTCCCCTACACATTTCTGTATCTTCAGCTTCTAGCAGTGGCAGTGAGAAAAGGATTTTATATAACAGTAGAAATGATCCGATATCGGGAAGTGGGAAGAGCTTCTGTGTAAGTGTTCCCGTGTAACCATTGTGGAGCATGGCTCCACGGATGGCTGGCCCTGGTGACCTGCTGATGGCTAGGCGGCCTGTAAACAGTCCCAAGTCTAGCCAGACTGGCTACAGACCGGGCCAGCGGGAAAGAACCTGGCCACGTCAATGGAGCCTGCAAGGCTGAGAACAGGGAACAGACCCTTTCAGGGGCCAGCGAGTGAAGTAGTTTTAAGCACTTGCTGTAACAAAAGAAACACACGCTAAGCTTCCTTGTTGGAGAGGAAAATGCCAGCCGCCCACACAGCACAAGAAATACCAGTCAATAAAAGAACCAAATCCAAGCTCTGTGCTCACAGAGCTGTCTGCCAGGGCTGCAGCGACACAGTGCACGGCGGAGCCTCACAGATCCAGCCTCTTCGTGGCTCTAGTTAAGGCCATCGGGACAGCTGCTAAAGGCAGCGCGGTGGGGAGCCTCATTCACTCCATCTGACATTCCCACACCACCGGTTCCTGACAGCAGGCCACCTACCCACCCAAGGACTCTAAACACGGGCAGATTATTCTATAGACCAAGCACCTCTGCAAGCTACGCACCAAGGACTGGGACAGGCAGTGCATTCTAACAAATGCGCAAGGGCTTCTGGACCAGACCGCTCAAACACGCGCAGAAAGGGAGCTAGACCACCTGAATCAAGTCCACGAGCCTTAAAACCACGAACACTCTTAAATATGTCACCGATCAGGAGAAAACGTCTGGGTCCCCACTCAAGACAAAAAAAAAAAAAAAAAGCAAATCAACGTGGTTTCCCATCGCCCCTGGATACCACGAGCTCTGTGGTGCTTGGAGACCTTCTGAGCCCCCGCGGAGCACACGCCACGCTGCTATGGATGGACATGTCTGAATGGGAGAACCAAGTTTCGGGGCCCTGACGAGGCGGCAGTGCACGCTGGGACTGGGGCCACAGACATTTCAGGCGTAATTACAGCTCGCGCGGCTGGGCCTCGTCTAACGCCAGCACCCTGGGTTCCCGGGGCCTCGTGGTCCCCGCTCTGTCCCATATGGCTCCCGGAGGGTGTGGAGAGCTAGGGCAGGGCTCGGCCCAGGGCCGCCCCACCCAGGCCGGCCGGCGCCGCGCTGCTGTCAGCGCCCCACGTGCCGCCGGGGGTCCCCCCAAGGCCGCCGCACAGCCCCGGGTGGGCTCCGCCGGCTGCTCCCGCCCTCCAGGGCCCGGCTGCCCACGCCACCCACCCACATCCCCGCGGCCCCCAGGACCTCCCCGCCGCGTGCTCCGGCCCCCACTTTTTAAATTTTTTTTTTTTTTTTTTACCCGAAGGGCCTCCCGCGACGCCCCCGGCTCCGGGGTTGCTGGCCGGGGCTGGCGGCGGCTGCGCCGGACCCCGCAGGAAAGACGGGACGAACTCGGCGGCGTGGACGTTGGGCACGAAGGGTTTGGCGTTGACGTTGAGTTGCCGGCTGAAGGCCGCGCTGAGGTGGTCACGCTGGGCCTCGGCCGCCGCCGCCGCCGCCAGGGAGCCGCCGCCGCCGCCGCACGGCCCGGGCCCCGGGGCTTCCATGTCCGCCTGGTCCCAGCAGTCGGGCGCCGAGTCGCTGCTGCCGCCGCTGCTCCCGCCGCCGCCGCCACCGCCGCCGCCGCTGCCCGGATCCATGATCGGGGGGGCCGTGTGTGTGGCGGAGAGAGGGCGGGAAATGGAGGCGGGGGCGACTGCCCGGGGAGGAGCAGGTCGCGCCGAAGCCGGGGAAGACGGCGAGGGATCACGACCAGGAGCTAGCCACACAATGCCCGGCGTCGCCGCGGCCGCGGTTCCAGTCCCGACTCGGCACTCACGACGACGGCGGCGGCAGCGGCTGCTCAACCCTCCGCGTGTGTGCGAGCCGATCTCCTCCCACCCAACACCAACCACCTCCGACTGCCTCTTCGCCAACCTCACGCCCGGCGCCGACTGACCCTTCGCCGCCACCCGTATCGCCGCCTTGGTAGTTCTCGGGTCTGGCCGTCTCCGTTTATGGCTATGGAGCGCGGCCGACAAGGGAACTACAAGGTCCGGCAGCCCCCGCGCGACCTCGCTGCGGTTTGCCCGGGGACCGACGGGAGACGGAGTTCAGGTGGCCGGGTGCAACCGGAAGCGGCACCGGCTCCCGGCAGCCAGCGCGAGGGGGCGGAGGTCGGCTGGCCGCTGGGCCTCTCCACCTGTCACCGTCCGGTCGTCGGGGCCGGCCATGGCGCCTCGCCGGCCATGGGCAGGGGGTCGAGCGAGAGCTTTTTAGTCCTTGGAGGAGCATCCTGCGGCCTGTCAGGGACAACATGCCTGAAAACGGACACCAGAACCAGCGAAGGGCGGGCGGGTGCAAATCGCTCTGGAAGATTCCTTCCCTCCCTTTCATGGATCGCCTTTTTGAGCCTGGGAGTCTCCCTACCTTGTTTTCTTGCCACCTTCTCTCTCCCAACCCCGACCCCGCTCTCGCCCTGTATTTCAAAGCCGACGCGAAGCGTCTTCCCTTTGATGTGTAGAAGAGACAATAAAATTTTTGAAGCTGCGACGTGGCTCCCACAGGGCAGGGACCCAGGCTGTGCCGGGCAGGAGAGGTTGGGAACTGGAAACGAGTGACTCACCGTCTATCTGACGAGTCATTGAAAACCTTCACCCAAACTTTTCCATCTGCCAGCCTGGGGGGGTTGCAGATCAAGCAGGATTGCCGCATTCCACCCAGGACGTCCTTAGGTGAAGCGATTGCCCTGGAGCTTGCAGAGCGGGTCAGCCTCTGGTTTTTAGGTCAAGGTGAAGAAACGAGCAAAGAAAGAGCAAAAGCAAAATACCAACTCCGCATCTAGCAGGAAAACACGCTGTTTCGCGGCCCTGGTCCGCGCTCCTGTCATCCACCCATGTGGAGCCTAAGCATAATGTGACTTTTCTGTCCCGGGTGGAGACAGGGCAACTGTCTTGCCTGGAAATTACAGAGGAGAGGAAAGGAGGAGACACGGTGATGAAATAACCTGGGGTGGTGGTGGTTTTTTTATTAAGCCTTTAAAAAAATAAACTAACAACATGTGAGTCTTTAGCTGAATCTTTCATTTTAAACAGCTGAGTTGTAAAGAGAAAACTCAGCGTAAGAAGACAGGTCAAAGCTGAGGTTGTCAGGTACCTTTTAAAACAAGTCATGTGCTGCTGGTTTGTTTGTTCAGGGAGGCTTTCCTCAGAACATAACTAGGGAGTCTGGGTACTGTTAATGGAGACACGTCCACCCCAGCAAGCCTGTTGGAAGTTTTTCATGAGACCTTTAGGCCAGGTTCCCTGAAATGATACAGAAACGGGTCCTCTGTTTTGGTTTGCTGAAGGTCCCTCTCTCCCCCACATGTGGTAACTTATTATTGTGCTTCATAGGGAGTTCTGGTTACAGTGTATTACAATAGTTCCCTGGAGATGCTATTGCATGTTCCAGAAAGTCCAGCCACCCTGGTCCTCTGCCTAGCCCCAGGACTACCAACTCTTTCATTATTAAAAAAAATTTTTTTTTCACAGCATTGATCATGATCTAGCATTCTCTTTCACATTCATCTTTAATTTGCTTTAAAAAAAATTTTTTTTTAAATGGTTTCGGCATGGTAGCCTAGTGACTCAAGTCCTGGCCTTGCATGTGCTGGGATCCCATGTGGGTGCAGTTCATGTTCCAGCTGCTCCACTTCCCATCCAGCCCCCTGCTTGTGATCTGGAAAAGCAGTAAAGGACGGCCCAAAGCCTTGGGACCCTGCACCCGTGTGGGACACCATGAAGAAGCTCCTAGCTCCTGGCTTCGGATCAGCTCAGCTCTGGCTGTTGGAGCAGACAGAAGATCTTGCTCTCTGACTCTCCTCTCTATGTATCTGCCTTTCCAATAAAAGTAACAATAAAGGATACTGAGAAACAGCCTGGTGGAAGAGCTGCACAGAGCGAGGGTCAAGGGACCTGTGAGGGAAGTCCAAACTTTGAAGACCTGTCTGGGTGCCTCATCCAGGACCGTCTATGTTCAGTGACCTGGAAGCTCTCTGAACTCTGTCCTCTTGGGTTCCTATGGAGCAGGTGTCATTGAGCACATCACCGACCACAGTGTTGTCAATCTTCAGTTCCTCTCCCTCACCAGCTGTGATGTGGTGGGCTGACAGTTCCAGTCCTGGCTGGAGCTTTCTAGGGACCAGTCCCCAGCCAGGAACACATCAAGAGTTACCTCAACAGAACACCAGCAGATGGGCTCTGAGTTAAGTTTCAGGGCAAAGATCAAGTGTTAGAAGGAAGCAGTCACCTTGCACTGCGCATGCTCAGGGAATCTCCACTATGAGAAACTCTGGGTAGGAAATGAGGGACAGGTAGCAAATGTGTCTTTTTATGTCACAGTCCCACAGCCATGTTTTGTGTGAAGCCTCTTTCAACTTAGCAAAGACTTTTCTAGATTCAATTATATTGTAGCAGGTGTCAGTACTCCTTTTTATGAATGAGTAGCATCCTATTTAATGGATAGACCATAATTTGTTTATTCTTTAACCCTTTGCTAGGAAAGTGGATTTTCAAACTTAAAAAGCGTTTGATGCAGTGGTGAAGACATCACTGGAGATTCCTGTGTCCCATTTTGGAGTGCTGGTTTGAGTTCCCAGCTCCCAATTCCAGCTTCCCCGTACTGTGCGCTCCGGGAGGCAGCAGGTGATGGCTCAAGGAGTTTCCCAGATGGAGTTCTCAGCACCAGGTGTTGCAAAAGACACAGGCTGTTGTGGTCATCTATGGAGTAAACCAGCAGATAGAAGATTGAGCTTTCAAATAAAAATAAAAACATAAATAATTCAAGGGTGAAGTACCAGTAAAGTGTGCACTCACATTCTGTGGCACCCTCACCACCCTTTCCCCCCAGAACTTTCCTATCTTCCAGCTGTAACTGTCTACAAGATGCACAAACACCAGCTCCTCATCCCCTCCTGCCTCCCCCAGCCCCCAGGTGACCACCATTGTTTCTGTCTTGATAAATTCAACTACTGGACCTCTTTAAGGTGGAATCCTGCAGTGCTCATTTTCTGGCTGGCTAATTTAGGCAGCATAATGCAATGGTAATCCAAGACTGATGGATACTATGTTGTCTGTCGGTGGAACTTGGGTTGTTATCATCTTCTAACAATGTTGAGCGGTACTGTTGGGAATACATATGCACAAATAATCCAATTATTTTTAAAAGATTTCCAGGTCTACCACCTGGGTGCAGGATCCCAAGGCTCTGGCCCCGTCCTCCACTGCTTTCCCAGGCCACAGCCAGGGAGCTGGATGGGCAGTGGAGCAGCAGGAGTGTGAAATGGCAATCAAATGGGATCCCTGAATGTGCAAGGTAAGGATTTAGCCCCTAGGCTACTGTTCCGGTCCCTGTTTATATGTTTTGTGACTGGAGACTCCCTTTGCTTCCCTCTTTTCTACCTGCAGTCTGTTCTGGGATCATTTCATTCCCCATTGCATCGCTGTTGATCCAGGCTTGCTCGCTCTCTCTCTCACACACACACAGTGTGAAGATGCCAAGAACTACTGGTGTGTACCTGAAAGTGGGTGAGTTGCTAGCATATGAATTATATAACTGTGAGCTGTTAAAAAAATGTGAGAAGTCAGTTTACCACAGGGGTATATCTTTGAGTAGTGGGGAAAGAGAGAGAAAGCGAGAGATAGAGCCGGGAACATAACCCAAGTCTCCCTCTAGGTGGCAGGAACTCAAGGACTGGAGCCATTGCCACTGCCTCCCAGGGACTGCATCAGATAGGAGTTGGAGCCAGGATGGGAACCCAGGTGTTCTGGTGTTGAATGCAGCTGTCAACACTGCTAGGCTAAAAGTCCCTCTCCCAATTTTCCATGCTATTTGCTGGGTTAGGAAATTAAGCAGTAAATGTCGTATTCTCTGCTCAGATAAACTGCTCCAGTCCATGAGTTCCTGCAGGGATCCCATATGGATGTCGTTCACATACCGGCGGCCCCACTTCCCATCCAGCTCCCTGTTTGTGGCCTGGAAAAGCAGTAGAAGATGGCCCAAAGCCTTAGGACTCTGCGTGGGAGACCCAGAGAAAGCTCCTGGTTCCTGGCTTTGGATTGCCTCAGTTCTGACAGTTGTGGCCATTTGGGGGAGTGAACCAGCAGGCAGAAGATATTTGTCTTTCCTTCTCTCTGTAAGTTCAACTTTTCAGTTAAAACAAAGAAAAAACAACCCTTCACAGGGAAGAAAGTACCAGGCAAAATTTTTATAAAGTGAGGCGAGGGGCCAGTGCCATAGTGCGGCTGGTTAATCCTCCACCTTTACTTGCCAACAACCCATATAGGTGCCACTTTGTGTCCTATTGCTCCACTTCCCATCCAGCTCCCTGCCTGTGGCCTGGGAAAGCAGTTGAGGATGGGCCAGAGCCTTGTAACCCTGCACCCACATAGGAGGCCTGGAAGAGGCTCCTGGCTCCTGGGTTCGGATTGGCTCAGCTCTGACCATTGCAGCCATTTGGGGAGTAAAACAGTAGATGGAAGATCTTTTCCTCTCTGTCCCCTTTTCTCTGTAAATCCGCCTTTCTAATGGGAATGAATATTTCTAACAAAAAAGAAAAGTGAGGGGAGCTGTTGGCTGAGGCCAGTGTAGCACTGTTGTCACCACTCCTCGCTCATCCTCCTTGAGAAGTCTGCGTCTTCCAGTTCCCCTGCAGGAAGTGGCTTCCTCTCTGGCTCCTGTGGGTTAACCACCTTTCAGTCACCTGCCAGTCTAAAACCAGTTGTTCTGGTTTCCCGGGCATCAGACAGGCCTCTGTGAGTGACTTTTTGAAACACAATGTAGGCTTCCTTTTCCAAGTCTTCCCACCTCTGCCCAACACCCTAGTCTACCCTGTGTTTCAAGGGTTTGTTCCCCAGAAGCACAAAACAGAACCATCCTGAGCTGCCC